CTGTTGTTTAGCCCAGGCTCAGGACTCCAGAAACATATACAGAAAAACCACAGCCTGAGAGGAGGAGGAGAAGGAGGAGGAGGAGGAGGAGGAGGAGGAGAAGAAGGAGGAGGAGGATGAGAAGGAGAGGGGAGGGGGCCGAGGGAAGGGGGGAGGGGGCGGAGAGACCAGGAGGCCGGGGCCAGCGGAGGGAGGAGGGCTTCACCTCCTTCAGCTCCTCCTCGCCCGGGCGTCCTGTCAATCAGAGTTTAGAGGTGGGCCGGGAAGGAGGCGGGGCTAAGAGCAAGTCTCCAGTCCTTAAAGGTGCAGAGAGAGGCTAGCTCCGACTCTTGTCTTGCTTGCCTCTCTTAGGCTGCGTCCTTGAGGAAAACGTGGCTCCGCTTAAAAGCAAGACTGTAAAATTAACACGAAAGCATGCAGACGGTGTGGATCCCTCCTCCCCACCCCTCCTTCGCCTACGCAGTGACGCTGCCGCAATAAACTTGGTTCTCTGAAATCCTTAAACCTCGGAGAAACTGTTGAGAGCAAAACTTTGTAGTGTGACGTAGTTAGTAAATGAAATCAAGCTGCTAAGATAGTTCATAATGATCCCTAACAGATGAAAGTCGAGACAGTAGGTAATTTGCAAAGACTCAACTCCAGGCCAGCAAAAAAATAAATAAATAAATACAGATTGCTATTAACTGTGGACTAAAACCAAATAAAACTCAAGAAAAAGACTAATAAATAAGTTCACCAAATGAAAAGAATTCAACATTTCTCTTCCCCCTGAGGGAAGTTGATTATTTGGCTTAAACACTTAATAAAGGATTGTATTGTCACAGTCTGGTTCTAGTTTTTAATATAGTCTAATAAGCATTAATAACAGGGAGAAGAAGGAAACTGACATTTATTGAATGCCTACTATGCACAAAGTAATTTACTTGAGTTATTGTATTTAATTCCCAAGATATCTCTGTGAATTATGGAATAATATTATTCGCATTTCACAGAGAAGAAACTTAGAAAAGTTAAAGAATTTGTCCAACGTCCATAGTTATGAAGCATGAGAGCTGGAATTCATACCCAAGTTTGGCTCTTTCCAAGGATGAGTGAGTCTATGTATAGTAGGCCTCAAATCTAAGAGATACATGTGAATATGGTCAAAGTTACTTGTGTGCCTTGTTTGTGTGTAGCTTGAAAACAGACTTAAGTACTTAGAAGAACAGATATTAAAACAAGAGGGCTGGGATTGAAAATACATAGGCAAAAAATAATTGAATTAGCCAGGCAGTGGTGGCTCACGCCTTTAATTCTGGTACTGGAGAGGCAGAGGCTGGTGGATCTCTGTGATTTCGAGGCCAGCCAGGTCTACAGAGTGAGTTCCAGGACAGGTTCCAAAGCTACACAGAGAAACCCTGTCTTGAAAAACCAGAAAGATAGACAGACAGACAGATGAAGCCAGTAATTCCTGCCTGGGATAATCTACATTTTTTTGTTTTGTTTTGTTTTCCTTTTAGTCCAGCTAACAGGGGAATCTAAATGGGGACATTTTCTCAACACTCATAAGATAAAAACAAAACAAACAAAAACCCACCAATCACTTAGGCAAGCCCAGGACTGCTTTGGAAGTTAAAACACTCTTGTGTATCCTGTGCTGTTCCAGCATGACTCTATATGGCCAGCCTCAGTATGCCCAATCAGCAGAATGGGACATCACCTAGCCACGCACTTGGAGCTCCTCAAATAGAATGCTCTTCTCTTCATCAACCATTATGCAAACACTTGGCAAGATAAGGGGCCCTTAGGGAAGCACTTCAAAGCAACTCTTAACATGCTCATTGGCACCCATTGGTATAAGGGCATGCAGTAGTGTGTATTAACTGTACTGATAATGCCATATTACTTAATAAAAGTGGTTTTATTCGCACACATATCTTGACTTGTAAGCTGATGCTTTAATCAACACTAATCAGAAGTTGAGTAAAACTTAAAATCATATGTCAATCTCAGCCTATGTGGTCTCATATATCCCTTGCCTCTTACAACATGAGGTTGAAGAGGAGCCTATAAGAAATCAGTTTTGAAGCAATTAATTCTGAGTGATGAACCTAATAAAACATTACCAAGCCAAGGACTGAGAGAGGCACCATACACACTCTAAGATCAGTATCGTCTAGAGTCATTTTGCTAGGGGAATTAGAGATGTGTACAATATTAATTGTACAAATGACTCCTATTTACTAACCTAAGCTTTTCTGTTCAAGGTACTGAGTTAGCTCACCACAACGATCTGGTCTCAGTTCTTAGGCATTTAACTATGACTCCATATAGTTGCCCAAATACATTTCAATATAAATAAATGGTATACTAGAGAAACCACACACTACAAAAGAGATGAAAGAAAGTGAAAACTGCTTAGAGTAAATGTTAGTGGGATCTGAGGTGGGTCTGAAGGACACATTGGAACTGGAAGGCAGGGTTAACATGTGCTTCAGGGGTCTCTTTGCACACAACAGAAGTAATGGTAAGTCTACACAACAGAAGACTGCACAGGCATCGCTGTCAGCATTGTGCTTTCTCTGGTAGACACTGAAGTCACATGAGAGACCGTTTCAATCATATGAGCGGGTAGCATGGCTAGTTTATACAGTTGTCCAAACCAACAGGTAAATGGTTATCAGCTTGCCCAAATTGTCTGGGGGTGGGGGCCGTGTAAAATCCATTAGGAAGGAGGCAAGAGAAATGGGAAGGCAAGGACGATGCTGAGACCATATCAAGATGGCGCCACTGTGAGAACTGACTTGATATGGGTGAGGAAGAGAAAGGGAATGGCCTCCAGCCTGGAGCAAAGCAGCACTGATACCATGAAAATTATAGCTGGAATATGACTTATCCAGTGCTGAGTCTCTTGTAGGCTTTTGTAACAAGTTACCACTTAATTTGGCTAATTTAAGTCCCATTTTTGACACCTCCCTACTTTGTGGTGAAGATGTAAATTTCCTTGAATTACTAGACAAATACAGACTGGCATCACTCAGTGTCTAACTGGGATTCATTCCATCCTTCTGTGACTGTTTTGTTGTATGGGCATAGATTGTATTCAACACACGAAGTTACTCTGTCACCAGGTCATACAGTCTTGTGTGATCATTCTCTATACACTGTCTTCTGAAGCATGATTGTACAAATGTTGCAAAAAGTCCTGATTTTTTAATGCAAATAAAGGAATTCAAAGGGAGCAAACACCTTAGGTGAAATAGAACGACTAGGATCGCATTAGAGAAATTTGAAAAGTAGGTTCTAAGGAAAAAAAAAATTCTATGTGCAATTTCCCAACTTTATGAACCGTGACAGAAGATGGATACTGTTTTTTGTTTCTTCAGTATTCAGACAACAACACTTTCCTTATAATCGCTGTGTTGCAAATTCGTGCTTAAAGGAACTGAGGCCGGCTGAGTCCTGCTTTCCAGATGTGAGTGTCAAAATTTTACCCAGTAACAAAGCAGCTCTCAGTCCAGCCCATTTCTAACGTGCCACAAAGTCATGCCATCATGCTTACCTCTGTGAGAAGACTAGGTGACGCTGAGGGTTCTCGCTCAAACTTCTTCAGATCTTAGTAGGACACACTGTTCATTCGTAGTCACCTAAGGAAAAAAGGACAAGGTGTAGGGCAATGCGTGAAAGGACGTCACTCCATTCTCTAGCAACCAGGGCATGGATCTACTGGTACTGTAAGGATTCGGGAGTTATGCAGGCCTGCCTCTATCACCTGGCAGAATGCACTCAGGCAGTACCCTGGTCAGCCCAGCAATCCATGATTCCGTAGTCTGCACGCAGGTGCAAAGGACGCTATTAAAAGAAAGACACTCCACCCCTACTTAAGATCTCTTTCCGGCTCCTCTCTCTCTGCTCTAGTCTCTTGGCCTGCTCCTCTCTTTCTCCCTCCTCTCTTTCCTGCTCTCTTCCCTGCGGTTCCCCTGGGGCAGGAATGACTTTTCCTGTCTCCCTCTTCTCTTCTGTCCTCTCTCTGTCTCTGTGTCTCTTTACCTCTTTTCTCTTTCCTTCCCGCTCCCTCCCCTTTCTAATAAAATTTCTAACTTAAACTCTGACTACCTGACATGTTTGTCCAAGCTCCCCCACGCAAGGTTCCTCACTCATTACAACAGGTACAGCCAGAGATAAATTTATTACTCCATGTTGCTATGCCATCTAGGCAGACACTAATTTATGCAGCATAGTGGTTTGAATGAGAATGGCCCCCATAGGCTCATAGATTTGGGTACCCAGTGACCAGGGAGTGGCACTATTCGAAAGAAGTAGTTGTGGCTTTGTTGAAGGAAGTGTATCACTGGAGATGGGCTTTGAGGTTTCAAAAAGCCCATTCCGAGGCCAGAGTCTCTCTCTTCCCTATGCCTGTGGATCTGGCATGTAGAACTCTTAGCTCCTTCTCCAGCACGGTGTCTGCCTGCGTGCCACCATGCTTCCTGCCATGATGACAATGGACTAAAGCTCTGAAACTGGAAGCAACCTCCAGTTAAACATTCTCTTTTTTGTTTGTTTC